AAATTAAAATGAATAAAATAAATTAAATTAAATAAATTAAATAAATTAAAATAGTAATTAATAATGATATAAAATCTCCATAATTTAATATTTATTAATTACACAATTAGGTACATGAATTCATTTAGGCAATTAACAAATAGCAATTAATAATAAAGGCAACAATAATGATAATAATAATGATAATGATAATAATAATAATAATGATAATAATAATAATAAGAATAATAATAATAATAATCCAATTTATTCATAAACGAACGGAGCGTTACAATTCCATAAGCATGATGCTAACTCATTCTATTTATGATTGTATGATGGATATGGTGAACAAGAGCGATGCATTTATCATTCTTCCAGATGGTTATGGAACGCTATAGACAATGTTCACCCTTGCTTCTTGGGCAGAATTGAAATTTCATAACAAGCCCATAGGTTTATTGAATTTTAATAACTTTTTTTATGGTTTGCTTGGATTTTTAGACCAAGGAGTATATCAAACTTTTATATCTCCTCCAACGAGAGAAGTATTCAAATCTGCAGATACGTCTGATAATCTTATCAAAAAGCTTCAAGAATACGTCACATGTCAAGATTCTGTGGAAACAGAAGGGGTCAAGAGAAAAAGAGTTTTTCATCCTTTAGATCTCTCATTATGAATCCAGATAACAATAATGGGTAGCAGAGTTATGGAGTTTTATACTCTCGAGATGCACCCTTCTTTTATGGGTTCTATTATGTAATTTTTTTCGCATATTTATCGAGGATTGAATACCTCTTGCTCATATTTTCATCACCTAAACTTTCTGTACTTGTTTCTCAGTAATAATAATATCAATTTCGCCTTTCCTCAAGATAATTGTATAGTAGATTATGACTACAATCATCTACCATATGTGCTTCTTCAGGAGCACTTTATTGTAATATCTCTATGATCTCGAATCTCAATGTGATCTGATATAGTCCCTCGGACTCACATAATATATTGAGAAATCATTTTGTGTGATCACCCATAACTGGTAACTTTTCATACAATTTTCTCAATTATCCAATGGTAACTTCTGGTACCACTTCAGTATCATTGCGTGGTAGCTTCCAATACCACTATACCACGATATCATTTAATTATTATGTAGTAACTTCTAGTACTACTTCATCAATATTCGTTTCTCCATCAATAAATTTGGAGAATTTATCAATTGTTCCTTCAGGATCAGATTAGTCCATATAATATCCGTTCACGACAAGGACTTTAATTAACTTTCACATGGTCAGATATAAAGTATCATTATTTTTATTCATCGGCTATCAGTTAATTTGTACTGCCCATCGCCGGCGGCAGAGCCGCATTGGCTAGCCCACATATACATAAAGCCATTCATATCTTTTTATATGGATTATCTGTTGCACATGGCTTTATCATCTGGCCATTCCATATCGCTGGTTATCATTAATACACTTATCATCTGGTCATCACCGGTTATCATTATTCAGTACACTTATCATTTGGCCATCACCGGTCATCATTATTCAATATATTGACCAGTTCACTTAGTTGTTCAAATTTATGTGGATACACTGCTCGGTCATTTCACATGATTTTTCATATTTCAACAGTTGACCCGTCGGCTACCATCAAATATCACCTGTCGGCGGCAGAGCCGCACTGGCCGGTATATGTAGCCACACATATTTATATTCATATCACATGGGTCAATTCATAAGTATCCACATGTCCATGTACCAAATATTACAATAGTCAACACATACATATGCACATGCTCATGTATTAAATAATTTTCACCATAACAAAAGGCAAGCATTTCATAACCATAAAAGTATTTGATGTATGATAATAAACCATATCAATATTGGTCTTAAAATGAAGCTCTTTTTTAACTTGTTAACATGGAATTGAAATTTAACCATGTTTGCTTTTCATATTTACAGATATGAAAAATGGAGTTATAATATTATGACTATTTGTCTTGTTCTTTTCTTCAACCATCAATTTGTTTTGATTGTGCCGTGTGTATGGCCATAAAAAAAATACCCTCATTTATAATTATTTATGGAAAGATAATTCATGAAAAAATCATTTACTTGGTGACAAGTGGATATCCTCATCTATGTTAATTTCTAGTTTCTCCATGTACACATTGAATGTCATTCAGTAAAATTGAGGGGTGTTACCGACATATAGTATTCTAGTGGAGCAAGTTGGATTATTAAAATATTTTGGTGATATATTAAATTGTCCATGATATATATTTCATGAACATACCATAAATATTGTTGCCTGACACCCTATCAATAATGCATGTATTTGTTTTGATGTGTCACTTTCAACAATGCATGTGAAAATTAAATGAAACAAAATGATTGTATAATTAATTAATAAATAATTACCATGCTATGAAGGTGTCAGCTTGTTTAGCCATTTCTGCTTTTCTTCCGCAGACCACTTTTCCTTCTCTTCTATTTTCCTCTTCTTTTCCTTTCTTTTTTTTCCTCTTCCATTATTTCTCTTTTCCTGACACACTTTTCTCTTTCTTCTATTTTCCTCTTTTTTTCCTCTCTTAATACTTTTCTTCTCTTGTTTCTCAAATTTCCCTTCCTTTGAATTTACAGGCCTCAAACCCAAGGGACGGTTGGAGAGGGTGACCCTGAGCTCTGATTGATGGAGCTGGCGGGCGTCCGAGAGGCCCGATTTCGGGACAACTTCAAGATTTTTTTTTTCATATATTAATCAATGTAAAAATTGAATAATATCCATGATTTTATATGAGCTTTATATAATGATTAATAAAAAAACGAGAACAGAGGGAGAGGGGGGAATCTGTATTTTTTTTTTCTTTCGCTTCTATTCAATGAACTCTTGGCTGGAAGTTTCTGTGAAGGAAGACTCACAAGACTGTGATTTTCTTGATAAAGAATTTAGTAAAAATAACGATTTGTAATATTATGATTTCTGATACAGAAGATCATCTATAAGACACAACTGTAGAGCATACTTTCGTCTTATTACAAATCGAGCTCTAGAGGGCAGAGACTCATGCTGATAACGTTTTATAAAACTAGAGAGAAAGAGATATAATAGAGAAAATGTATCTCTTATGTACGATTTTCATTATAACTGAAACTCCTATTTCTAGGAAACTTTTGATGGCACAACTGTAATAATACAATTACATCGAAGGCAAAATAGTCATTCACATACATTATTTTATAATAAAATATTTCACAACAAGTTTGTATTTATTCCAAATATTAATAAATTTTTCATTATTGGAAAAAGAAAAAAAAACAAAAAACATTGTGGACTTGGCCCAATCCCAAAAAAATGAGATAATTACCCTGTGTACCAATCAAATAATAAAATATTATATATATACCTTAAAACTCTAAATATTTGTATATGTACGAGATAACACGCCTACATTAAAATATTAATTGAACAGGGTCCTCTCTCTCTCTTTATCTGCAAATTTTGCGGTCATCTCTCTCTATCCTGCAAATTCACTGTAGCAAAAGAACAAAAAAAAAAGAGAAACAAATCTAGATTGTATCGTCCCTACTGTAAATTCTTGTGTCAATAGAAGAAAAAAAAACAGATCTAGATCATGAAAAGCCGATTCCGACCAAACTCCACCGGACCAAGAGCGTCAATCCCGGCGTCGACGAGAGTCGTCCACTCATGTCGCGGCGAGTCGAACCCAAACCCGCATAGCAGACCCGCGACCAAACATACCTGAACCACCGGCGATCAAGCTTCAGTTTCTGGAGACCTTCGACCGACCTACGACGAGGCTGCGACCTTCGTAAGCCTCAATCTCTGACGTCGAGCCACGATCTCCGAGCCCTGACCTCCGAGCCACCAGACGCGGACCGACGGGGCTGCATTTTTTTTTTCTTGGGAGTTGATTTGTACTCGCGATTTGTTGCTTATTACGATGTTTTTTATTGTGTATATTGTGTATATGTTGTGTATATGTCCCAGACAAATATACTGCTTTTTATTTTGTATATTGGGTATATGTTGTATGTTGTGTATATGTTCGATCATTTTTATGCATATGTTATATGGATTGATTTCTGTATATATTGTATATCGTGTATATGTTCGATCGTTGTATATTTTTCGGACTTATATGTTTTATGTATTCTAGTGTATATGTTTTGTATCTATTATATGTATTTTTCTGGACTTATATATTTTTTTGTATATCTTGTGTATATGTTCTTTATATATTATGTATAAACTCTATATATACCGATTTGAGATGACATATTTTTTTCAAAACCTGATCTTTTCCTTTTTTTTTAAAAAAACATATCGTGTATATAGCAACAAAATTCTGATTTGTTTTTACTTCCTTTTTTTTTTTTTTCTTCACAAACAAGGAGTTAATGACATGATTATAGGGTTTCTGTTATTTTGGTAACTGATTCTTATTATTCACCCATATTAAATATATTTATTTAGGTACATATGCAAATAAAATCATTCTCTTGGCAGGATTGTAATTTATTTAGTATCTTTTGTTGTGTAAAAAAATTCGCCAAAAAAAATCCCAATACGAACCAAAGAGCCCATGAGAGCTTTTTTGTCAACAAATTCCCATTTGCTGGTACAATCAACAAAGTAAAAAACACGTAGACAATGGCGACGGCTTGGGGTGCATTCTGGGGAACCAGAGTACTGCAGATAGTGAAGAAACACGATTCCGGTGGCCTCCTATGGAAGAGAATCAAGCTCACGCCCACCCGCAAAGCTAACGCCAAAAAACGCCTCCGTCGTGTTTGGCAGGTACAACTATGAATTTCACCTTCTAAATCTTGAAAAATCGGCCATCCGATTCTGTTTGCTCAAACTTTCGGTTTTCTTATGTGATTTTTGCTGCTTGGGTCCTTTAATTGAGAGTTAGAAAAAGGATGCTATTAGGGTTTTGCAAACTAAAGTACATAGCACGCCAACTGTTCGATGCAAATACTAATCGAGAGTTATTGCCGAGTTTTACAAGTTTCATCATTTGAAAATTAGTTAGGGTTAGCCCCACAAAAGATTATTGTTTGTGTTGTTGTTGTTACAAGTTTTACCATATTGTATATTGCTCTGTTGTTTGCTAAAAACATAAATGCTTTTCATGTGTGGTGTTAATGCGTTTGAGAAAGAAAAACTGCTTGTCTCAAGTTTAGTGGGGAGACTGCCTTTTCATTCATTCATCTTCTTTGGTTGCATATCCTGTTATTGCCTTCTAATTCTGTTCTTTTTATATCTTTGTAATGGAAGAACTTATCTTAGTGCGATGGTTCCTATTGTATTTTAGGTCCATAGATTATGTGCTCGTGTTTCTTTTGTTTAGAACTCTACTGTAGAAAGTGAATATTTATTGCCCATAGCATGGATAAGTTCATGATGAGGCTGATTCAATCTGCATTGGTAATTTTTTTTAGATTATCATGGAACTAATCAAATCTTGGATGAATAAACTAAATTCGGTTAGTAACAGATGATTCTGCATCTTGTTGTAGAAATTATTCCATTGATTTCTTGCTATTGAAACTAGGAGTTACAACAAAGGATATAGCATGGTATTATAAGAATTATAGTAAGAGAAACAGATGGTTCTGTTTAAGCTTAAGTCCTGCTGTCCTAATTACAATTTAGGTGACAAATTGTTAGAATAGTAACTCCAGTAATAACGAAGGTCAAAGTTTGGCAATGGTATTAAATTTCTTCGTAATACAATTTTATCTTGCTTTCGTACTCCATCATCTTTTCAAGTGAAGTGCCTTATGGCACCCTATGTAATTGAGCTAAAGTGCGTATCACAGTAGACTTAGGGATGAAATTTAGTTGGACCCAGGTGAGGCTTGTTTTTGACGCTTTAGGAGATGCTAAATGCTCAATGTGGCCCGTTTCACTTGAATCAACAAGTAGTTCTAGGGCTTGAAAGTCTGCCATTTAAAAATTACTTCTGAGCCCAAAAACAGAACCTCAGCTCATGTTGTACGCTAATTCAAGTGACATTGTTCTGCATGTAGCGATGCTTGATATTTCTTTCATGGATTGCTGGTGGTGATTTTAGACGTATATTTTTCTTTATTCTGAGGCAATAGATAATCAGGATTTTGAGGTATGATCTCTTTGTTTAAGCTTTAGCAAAAGTGGACAGGAAAGGAAGCATGAATGCTTGGGTAGTTTCAGGAATTAGCACTAAGTATCGATTGAATCAAGTTGTATGTAAAATTTGGGGAATCCAAGGTCAATATGTAATCACCTGAAACTTCCTCTGAATGATTGATGTAAATCGGCACTCAATGACTTGTGTCTTGATGTAAATTTGAGTTATGCTTGTTGTTACCCCTGTTTTTACTTTCTTGGAGGAGGAGGTTTTTGGGGAACCTTTTTATGATGTTAATGTGTTGAATGAATGAGGATTGCTTCCTTGCAGAATGAGGCTGTTTTGAGGGCATGCTCCGAGCCGCCACCCCCAAAAATATCACATTCGGAAGGTGGGAAGGTTGATCCCAAGGAGAGCTAGAGAGGTTCCAAACTATCTGAATCGGGTAAAAAGAACTCCAAGCAAAGCATGAATATCCTCTTCCAAATAGAATGGTGTGGTAATTGTGGGCTTTTGTACTGCCATCTGTAGTAATGCCTCAATTTCGTGGTTTGATTTTGGCTGGAACTTACCTCTTTCCTTTAATGGTTGGTTTCGCTATTAACTTTTTATTTCTCTGGTTTCTGATTGGATATTCTGCTTAAATGGAGATAAACTTGCTTTCTTTCTCCACTGGAATTTTGGGGGCGATTTCTGTTTCTTCAGCCAAGATTTATATAGTTGAAATGAAATATAAACCTTTTTTTTTTAAAAAAAAAAAATCTTTTCATTTCATCCCACTTTTGTTTTCTGCAATTCCACCAACGCAATTAAAAAAATAAAAACTAATCATTATTATGTATTTTTCAACAAAAAAAAAAAATATTATTCACTAATCACATATTTTTCACCTATCAAGCTAATCGATCAATATTTTATTAATTTTGTGTTGCATATTTTGATCAGTTTATTTTTATCTCACATTTATTCACAATTTCAAATTTATTTTATCTTTCTAACAATTTATTGTTTTTACTATTTCACTTCCATTAAAAAAATAAAAACTAATTATTATTATGTATTTTTCAACAAAAAAATATTATTCACTAATCACATATTTTACCTATCAAGCTAATCGATCAATAATTTATTAATTTTGTGTTGCATATTTTGATCATTTTATTTTATCTCACATTTATTCACAATTTCAAATTTATTTTATCTTTCTAACAATTTATTGTTTTTACTATTTCACTTCACTTTTTTGTACGAGATAATTTTTTCATAAAATTCTATATCAAATTTTACTTATTTTTATGTGGTTTGTCGGTTATAAATGATTTGGTAATTCTCTTTTTGTATTCACCCATAAAAAAGATGTTAGAAATGAAACTAGCTCATAATCCGAGCGACTGCACACGAAACAATATTCAGTGGTGATTGTCATATTAAATGATGGGATATACGTTAACATAACATAGAGAATAGAGAATTAGAATAAAGCACAACCACATATAAGTCTGCATATTTGAAAATAAATTGAAAACACAACCATTTGGTTTTGAAAATCTACATTGTCAACATTTTGCGGGGTAACAAGATTTCAAAAGCCAAAATAAAATGTTAGAAAATCAATAGAATATTCCAACACTTTGGTCTTCCCATGAATAATGAGTTTGAAATTTTTAATAATTGATTGTTATTTATCAGTATTACTTTCTAATTGGTAATTGTGAGTGACATATGCTCAACCCTATTCAAACTTGTCACCCGCACGAATTAGTCCAGTTATGCGGCACCACTTTATAAAATTCAAAATACAAAATTTATTTTATTTTAAAAAAAAATCAATATAATAAATATCGGCAACTACTATTAAATCACAAAACGAAGAATATTAACCGCACTATAGTGGAAAACTATTTCCAAATAACATCGGTAAAGACATCAAACGCCATATTAAAGACGTTGCTGAAAGCTTCAAGATGACCCTCGTATATATATATATATTTTTTTTTTTGGAATAATTGATTACGTGTAATTTTTTAATGAGTATTGCATTTTACATGATCATGAATGTGAGGTAATTTATAGAGAAATTTGGTGCATATATTTACACTTATTTTCGTAATTTTTAAAATATGAATTCATATGAATATAAGATTATTACTTGATTTGATTTATTTTTTTTCGACTTTTGGGGAAACCAGATCACATCCCAAGAATATCATACTGTTCTAAAAATCGACCTAGACGGTGTCCGAGGCAAAAAAAAATCAGCCAGGCGGTTACGCGGCTGTTCGCCTATATTTCTAAAGCTCGACCGCAAGTGTACAGCTTCGCTCGTAGTATGTGGCAAGCAAGGTCGTATCCCAAGAGACCAAATAATTATTATATCAAGTACAAGATTATGATAGTGTTAAATTTATTTAGACGATCGTATATGAGATGGATTAACTAAACTAAGAAAATAAATCATAGGAAATAAAGCAAAAATAAAGAACTAGCTAGAAAAGCACGTAAGAAAATATATGAGAATGATAGATTTTAAGACTGTGGTTTCAATTAACAATTGGGTTCCTTAAAGAAAATATCACAACTAAATGTTTTCTTTATCTACCCTATAAGACGATCACAAATTTAGCTTATCGTCCCTCTCGAGATCGATAAAATCGTAGATTGAATCACATATTTTAGCGTCTCCACTCAACACATACAATTCATCTCCAAATAGATTAAAAGATCTAATATCCTCACAACGACCTACTAATTTCTCAATTCAAGCAAGCAAATTATGTCAAATATTAAAGGCCTAATATTGAACTCATTTCTCGAATTATGAAAATTATTGTCAAACATGTAAAAACATTGGCCAAGTGCTAAACATGAATAAGAACAAAATATTTGAATAGGGTTCAAAGAAAAACAATTAATATAAATAAATCATCCAAAATCCCAACATATTATTCTACTACCAAGTCTTAGAATCAAACAATCTAGCCACTTATGTTCGAATTCAAATACATAGACATATTAGAAATCGACATGATCAATAAAAGTTCAAAAGGAAAGAAGAAATAAAAACTAAGAATCACGTTGATCTTTCAATGTTCTTCTTGATCCCTTTATAGTTGATCTTCTTTTTTACTTCCCAATTGCTTCTCTTGTGTATTCTAGGGCTCTTCTCCTTGTGTCTCACGTTCTCCTCTCTCAAAATAGGGCAAATATGCCTTTTATAATGTCCAAAACCCTTCTCCTTTGCAAATAGAGAAGATATCAAAAATTGTCTGCACACGCGACACGACCACTCTGCCTGGGTCACCGTCCATGTCACAGCCCTTGTCAGGTCCCTGGGCTTCGAAATATCTCTGTTGAGGTGACACGGCCTCTGACACGGGCATGGTGCCCGTGTCACAAATTTGCACTCTATTTTTCACTTGTTTCACTCGTTTCTTTCATTTTTTTCATCTGTGCATCAATCTTTCATCATCTCGGGGTTCCTAGGTACCCCCATGCGCCTCCAATAGCCAAAAGCTCTACAAATATGTGTAAATATTTATAAAACAAGCACGTATAATATCTTTCCAACAGGATATAAAATTAAAGCACAATAATGCAATTTATACACCAATATTGCAATGAATAAACTCCAGATACTATATAAATATGGTATAAAATCACACATGAACAAACCCCCCAAACTTAAACCATTGATAGTCCTGATCAATGCATCAAACTCCTACCAACACACAATGAAAAACAATCACAACTCTCAAAGTCAATCATAAACATTCTCAATACGCATCGAACAAAAAACATAACCAAGTTCTGAAATTTTTAAACATAAAGAATACTTCATCAAAATCATGGTCAATACTTTCAACCCACAACCCTCAGCGGATAAGTTTATACTCCCACTCTCAAAAGTATAGGGAAATAATCGCTCAAGTCAATTCAATGTTGAAGAAATACCATAAGCTTGCAAATTGTCTACTATTTCCACCACTTATTGTGCACGCAATTCATGAATCAAAAGGATTTTTCATTTGGTTGTAATGTAGGCTCTTTGGTAAGGGTAGGAAAAATATGGATAATGTGACGAAAAATTGAGCATCTAGAACTACAAAACATGAACTTCACAAATTCATCACCTTCCAATCAAGATCAAGCTCAACAAAACTTGTCCCATACCCCATTCCAATCAATACTCGCAAGCCGTATAAGAATTTTTTTTAAAAAAAAAAATCCAACCAAATCGCCTTTATTTGAGTCTAAGGCTAAAATATATACATATTCATTTTTTTTCTTTTTTTCTTTCTTTTTTCTCAGTTTTTTTTTCTTTTTTTTTTCATTTTTTTCTTTATTTACAACTCTATCAACCTCATCCAAATTACACCATCAAATTATACCTCATTCATGTCTTTCCTTTGTCCACACCACAAACAATAAACTCATCCTCTTCACATGATGTAATTCTAAATACTCAA